ATAGAGCAGAAAAGTGCTGACCATGTAGCTGCTTAGTGACGTAAGCAAGAAGCCTAAGAGATAAAGCCCCCCACTGAGATGCCTCTTGTGGCTCAGCTGGGACCCACCGTGTCGGTCACACGACACATCAGAGTTGCAGCGGCTGCTCCAACTCGGCTGCTCACCCTGTTCTGTGAGCAGAAAGAACTTAGCGAAATGCATGGTTTAACTTCCTCATCAAAACCTTCCTTCTGTTCTTTTGTGCTTTCAAATGACTAACACGGACTTCCAGAAAATTAACATTTGAATTTAGCTGTAATTCTCAACTGACCTTTTCCCCTGTACTAACTAACGTTTGATTTCCCCGTGTGGCGTGTTTTCTGAGCGTTCCTACTTTCAAACATGGAACGTGCAGGTGACTTGGAAAGTGTAGGCAGATCTGAGAAAACAAACAAGCCTGTTTCAGAAGAACGTCATCACAGCGAATACTTCTGGAAGCTTAACAAAACTAACCCAGCTGTCCTTTATCTTTTTTTAATTAACAATATTTTCGTTTTAATTAATAGCAACATAGCTTATTGGGTTTGGAGACTTGCATGGAAATATTTTAGCCCCCTCAGACCTTCCTGCAGTTTTGAAAGTCATCCTACAGAAGTAACCGTAAGACCTCGAGAGGGGTAGGTGAGCAGGCGCCAGGACTGTCATTGACACGGATATGACATTTCCCAACAGTGACAAGTGGAATCCCTTGTAACGTAGTACTTGCCTGCTCTGTGTCCGTGTGTTAATAAGCAGGCCCGCCAAGTCCCTTCTCTTGGGATTCTGAGGACTGTTCCTCAAGAGCTTAGCTGGCTCTCTGGGGGCGTGCGGAGGCCACTGTCCCCGCGGGCAGAACCGGATTTCCACGTAGCGCTTACCTGAGATGCAGGATCACCTACTTACTGTATTCTAGCTACATTGATATATTACATAGTATAATGAGACGATATCAAGAGTACACATGTAATGACAGTGCATATTAACATTCTTGTAGGAGTGGTTAGAGAAGCCGATGCCTCATTTCTACATTTTGTCATTAGCTATGATCATCTGACAGTTCAGTGTATCCTTTCAGAAATAAAGCAGCATATAAATAACTTGCCTCCCGACTTCTAATTCCGTCCGGTGCAATTGTTCCGAGGTGATACTGCTGGTCCAGAAACCTGAACAACTAACTTTTCCTTCCTTCGAGGACGTGCTCAGTTCAGTGCGGTTGAGCGCGACTACACGAATTACAAGATAAAACCAACCTGTGACAGCACTTGGATCCAGTTAAAAACAGTAACAGAAAAACCCATTCTGACCCAAAATAACATTTCCCAGATGTTCATATCCCTTAAAAAAAGAGCACACTGATTTCCTCTGGCCAGGGGGCTGGAGGCGGGAAGGGAACTGCAGCTGAAGTTTGTCATTGAGAAGTCATCCCGTCCCTATTTTGTTGGCTGCCCTTTCCCTGTGCCCGCCCCCCCCCCCCCCGCCCCGCCCCGGAGCCCTGAGCTGTGGCGAACACCGCTGTGCCTTCAACTGCCGCTCCTCCACCGTCGGAAGAAGGCACCCCCTCGAGGCTGCCGCTCATTTGGGAGGATGCTCACTGGGGCCCCTGTATCTCAGGGGTGGGGGGCGTGGGGACGGTGTGGGCAGAGGTGGAGGTAGCTTGCAGATCACAGCCACACCCACGAGGCTCAGGTTCTTCGGGTGCCCAAGCCGTCCACGCCACGTGGTCGTTTCAGGATGGCGTTGGGTGCCCAGTGACATGGGTGTCTGCTGCAGACTCCTCAGGTGGAAGGGTCCCCAGGATACTTCAGCTAAAGGCTGAGGCAGGAGGAGAGGGCCTCGTCTTTGAGGAGCCTCACGCCCGGGCTAATCAAAGGACAGAACCCCTTTGGGGCTAAGGAGTCAAAACCTGTCTATAGGAAACCGTGAGCATTTCTATGAAGGGGGAATAGACGTGTGTCTCTGTGTGTGTGTGTGTGTGAGAGAGAGAGAGAGAGAGAGAGAGAGCGAGAGGGAGAGGGAGAGGGAGAGAGGAGAGGGAGGGAGGGAGGGAGGGAGGGAGGGAGGGAGAGCGAGCGAGCGAGCCAGCCTGGCACCAAGGAAGCAGGTGTGGGGTAGGGAGTTGGGATGGTGACCCTCTGCTTCCCAAGGGAGCTTACAGGGTTGTTGTGAGGGTTTAAAATGATACCTATAAAGTACCTGGCACATAGAACGTGTAAACATAAAACTACGGTTATTACAACACAGTTGTTTGGGAAATTATGAGACGAGCCCATCTGGAAACACTGGAACTGGATTGGTGGGGAGGGAGACCGAGGGCAAGGCGGCCTTTCTGGGACCTGCTTCGACTGACCAGGCCTGCAGGGTGTGCAGGGATCAGACTGAGCCCTGATAGGACAGGCCGGGCAGTCTGCCTCCGGGCTGTGCGTCTTGGCACCAGCTGCTGCTGCGGTTCTACGCCCACCTCGCGACCCTCTAGCTCTTGCCAGTGAGTTAGCGACTCCTGAGAACTGAGGGCCCTCCGAGATCCTAGCGCAGGCCCCCAGCCCGCTCACCAGACAGCAACGGCTCAGAGGGGCCGTGACGGGCGCAGTTGCTTGGAGGGCTTGCAGCCCCCTCGGCAGGAATTCGGGCCCTCAGACCTCCTGTCCAGCATCCTTTCTAGTGTTCTCACCGCGTTTTTCTGGTTGCCGGGGATTGGAGCTATTGAAGAGCTTCACTGCACACGGGGGCAGTGGGGGGCGCGGATGACACGGGTGCGGGAAGTGCGCTATCATCTGCGGAATCTCCCGGGAGAAGCCGGGGGCTGCCCTCAGCCTACGGCAAGCACGGAGGCCGGGTCAGCGTCCATCACCTCAGGGCTGTCAGCAGGGTGCCCTGACCGTACTTCAGGTTGTCTGCGCACCAGGGAATGTCCTGGTTCAACAGCCCCAGTGGATGGCCCGGTACTGAATGCCAAGTGGGGAATGGCTGCCACTGTTCTCAAAGCACCAGGTGCCAAAGATCGGGGATAAACAAGGACCTCACCTTATCAAACACAAAACCTAGTGCAGTGGAACATGTTTCCAGATTAGAAACTAAACATGTACGGGCAGATCAAAACACTGGTTTGGCCACACACCGTAACAGTGATGTCATGAAGGGACGCGCATGTTAACAGAGCACAATTACTGCCCGAGTGCACGCTCGGACTTTCAAAAGCAAATGTGTTTGCCTCATGCGCAGCCAGCACCAAATGTGATGTTTAAAAGGGCTGTGGGAGGGGCTGCCCCGGTGGCGCTAGTGGTTGGGAATCCGCCTGCCAATGCTAGGGGACACGGGTTCGAGCCCTGGTCCGGGAAGATCCCACATGCCGCACAGCAACTAAGCCCGTGCCCCACAACTACTGAGCCTGTGCTCTAGAGCCCGCGAGCCACAACTCCTGAAGCCCGCGCGCCTGGAGCCCGTGCTCCGCAACAAGAGAATCCACCGCAATGAGAAGCCCGTGCACCACAACAAAGAGTAGCCCCCGCTCTCTGCAACTAGAGAAAGCCCGCGCGCAGCAACGGAGACCCAACGCAGCCAAAAATAATAAATAAATAAATGTATAAAAAAAAAAAAAAAGGGCTGTGGGAGAGGGAATGGGGAATGACTGCTTAAAGGGTACTGGGTTTCTTTTTAGGATAATGAAAACATTCTGGAACTAGATAGCGGTGATGGTTGTACATTGTAAATGTACTAAATGCCACTTACGTGAATTTTACCACAGCAGAAAGAAAGATACTTTAATCACTGGCCTCAAGTCACAGCCGTCACAGGGAAGAGTTAACAAGCACTGAAATGGGAGCAGGAAGAAGACCAGAGTTCAAAATTCACATCTTAATGTCCCACGGTGGAACGCCACCAAATCACCAAGTGACTGCAGAGGGGCATCAGAGGATCTGATTACTTATCAGAGGATCTGATTACTTATCGAACATACCGGTTGCCTGTGTTCATAGCTTGGTTAACAACTGGTGTCACCTTTATACCGCCACCAGTACATTTTTTATTATTAAAATAAGAAAACTTGCTTTACCTGCAAAGTTTATTGCATAGAACACACACATTTATATGAAGGCGTAACAGTGTTTCGACACGTGAAATCTGTACAGAAAAATATCAGAATCACATCTGTTAAGATGACTGTCTCTGCCTTTTGTATAAAAGAGCTAGGGTATAAAAAGTTTTTAAATCTAAGGCACCAAGCTCTATTCTATAACAAAGATACAGTACTCTGAATAGCAAAGAACTAGGGAGTCAGAAAGAATAACTACTTCCTTTTACGAAGACTGGTGGCTACAAAGAACACAGGCCTGCTTCAAACTATTTGTGATTCACCAGAAAACTCATTAGCACTGGGACCACTAATTTGAATTCAAGTTTTAGTCAATGGTTTAAGCAGGATTCAGTGGATTTCAGGAAACACATATCCTGTACGCGTGTGCGCGTGCGCCGTGTATGTCTCTGTGCCTATCAAGGGGGCCGAAGGGTAACACTGCTCCTGTGCTCACTCGCAGCCAGCCGCTAGAGAAGGCAAAAGCCAACTTTGATTCCACAGCTCAAGCCCGAGTGTACACTGAAGGGCAGGCCTGGAGAGCACAAGCAGAAAAAGATTATACACGGTCAACATTTAGAGGAGCTAAACATACCCCATCAGACAACAGCCAGATACTGCCTTATGTACACAATAAACATAACAACATGTTTTTATAGATAAACCGCAGTATGTACTTCAAAATGAAACACTGACAAGACGCTAAAGATCACACCGTCCAGGGCTCCCAGTATTTGGGGGTATCAGTGCCTGTGTATGGGGCTGGCAGACTATGGCAGAGTTAGAAATATACGTACATAGCGGTAAAATGTGATTTAATATTTTGCAACCTTCTGTATTTGTACGTTAAGAACAATCCAAACAAAGCTCTTGTGAGGAACCTCGAGGCCCTCAAATAAGCCGTCATGTTCTCTACAAGATCAAATGTGAGTTTTTATTGGTAAATTAATTGTTAAATGGAGTAAACATGATTTTAAGATTTCAAATATATACTGAGAAAAAACTATTCCTCTGGTAGAGATTCTCTTAGAAACTCAAGAGTTAGCATTTTATAAAGACACCCTTGATACACACTCAAACGTGTTGGCAGGAAAACACAAGAACGAGAGACATGAAGATTTTTACAGGAAAACAAAACGACTCTTTACTCAGAACCCTTGCTTGTGGGCAAGAGTCGAGATGATATGAGCATCTTCTGAGATATGTTAAGATGACGTTTTGATGTTTCCCGTTTTTTTTTTTTTTTTTTTTTTTTTGAGAGTCATTTTCTTTGCCAGGTTCAAGTAGGAGGTGGAGAAATTTTGAGAGGTGTTCCTGGAGGTCAAAATCCAGAGTGGAGAATGGCTTCTCTTCCAGGCTGGATGAGGTTTACATATCTGACCAGGGGGAGAAAGAAAAGAAAGAAGGTTAGTAGAGAAAATGCTAGTTCCACACCAAGTGGGCCCTGGCTCTGCTCTGAGGTGCGCCTGGGACCCTCAAGTAGCGCCCCTGGAGTTGCTGACACACTGGTGCTCTTATAAACGTTCCCCAACCCCCAAATGGGCCCAAGCTCCTCTCAATTTCAAAGAGAGCTTCTCAAGGAAAGAAGTTTTGGTTTTGGAAACACAAGTTGAGAGACTAATTCCAAAAAACTCACTAACCCTCTGCCCTGAATGATGATCTGTGTGCTGTAGAGCAGCCAGTGGAGCAGGAGCGCAGAGGAACCTGAGGGGTCTGGGGTTTGAAATGAACCCCACTTTGTATATCTGGCAGGAAATGCAGGCCATAAAAATTAGAATCAAGTCATTTACCCTCTCAAAACTAACTTAATGGAGGGCTCTTCTACATCAACCTAGTTTTAGACCAACCACTGTCTTCTCCCTCACCAAGACAACCCTGGAACAGCTGGAAACACAGGAGGGTTCAAGGTCAACTACCTTTCAAATGAAGTGAAGATGGGATGAGGCCTTACCCGATAGAGCAGAAACAGATTTGCTTATTTTCTTGTTGTCTATAGGCGGCTGGTGACTTAGGCAGGATGTCATGGGACCTTTCAGATGGTGTTTTCGGCTATCAGGAGGGATACTGGACTTAGGTGGTTCTATCTCGCTTGTGAGGTCAATAATCTTGTCGCAGACCCAATCCCGTGCCTCTGAATGTAAGCTCTTGGAAGGTCCCACGGTGTTGCTGGTTTCTGCCTTTCCGGTTTTGGCTGCTCGGTTGGCTGTTCTTTTGGTGAAGGATCTGGAAAGAGATACTTTGGTTATAATCCGGATTATCCCCAAACCAAGGCTTTGCCTGAAAGAAGCTTTATTATTTAATTCTAAGAAATGCCTTGGACATAAATAAACTTTCAGAATCACAGAATGGGAAGGCCGGATGGAAGGGACCCTGGAGATCACAGAACACACTGGTTTCCAAATTGTGTCCTCCCAGGTCCTAGGGCTCCATGGGAACGCTGAGGGGACCAGAAGCAGCTGCGCATGCAGGGCTCTAGGGACGCTGTCCCTACTGCAAGCAGATCCAGGACACGGCCAGTAAGGCAGAGTGAGAACTCATGTGGGTTTACCAGCTCCACTGCTCTTTCCACGCCATCACTGAGTCTCTTGGCAGATTGTTTCCACAGGCCTTGCAGGTTAATGTCTTTTCAGGCCATCGCCCAAGGAGCCCTCCTTTCCAGGAATCTGGCCCTGTTCTTCTGACCTAACCTCTGACCCTCAGTTTCCCATATGTACAGTGAGGACTTTAGTATCAAACTCAGGGTCGCAATGAGAATTAAGATAGTTGAAACGCCTGGTACACTGCAGTCACTCTATCAACGTCCCCTCCCGGACTGTATGAGACAACACTAACCAGCACGAATAAAGGCACAGTTTGGAGTCAGGTGTATCTGGGTTTGAATTTGGGCTCTGCCCTTGAATGGTGGGATGCTGGGCAAATAAGGCCCGTAATCTCTGCACGCCTGAGTTTCCTCGCCTGTAAAAATAGGGATGCTCATCCTCACTAAGCAAGGCTGCTGTAGGGATTAGTTTGTTTCTATAAGTCGAGTGCTTGACACAGTGTTTGGTATAAACTAAGAGCTCAGTCAATCATCTCATGCATCATTCTAAGAATGCCAATCATAACCCCTCCAAGTGTATTCTGATGAACTCACCTAGGGACTCACCTGGCACTCTTTGTCTGATTCAAAGGGTCTTTCACTCTTTTTTGTCTGAAGGTTTTCATGTCACAATTTAAAAGTGTTTTTGTCTCTTTACGGATGTAGCTACAAGTCTCATCTAAAAACACCAGCTTGCGAGTGTTCTTCACATTTTTAAAATGTGTTTTTGGTTTTGTGGATGACTCTGTGCCATTTATAAAAGCTAGAGAAAAAAAAAAGAGCAAGAAGATTAAAACTGGAGTTTCAACAACAAGACAAGCAAGGTGCCTGCCGGCTCGGGAGGGAGCCTGCCTGAAGGCAGGAGCCGTCTCATGGCAGCGCTTCCTGGAGCCATGGCCTGGACTACTGCCCAGGGCACAAGCCCAGCCAGCCCTCAAAGCACAAAGCGCCACCTTTAAGGAACTTGCCCTCTCTCCTTTGCCAGCAAAGAATGACGGCCAGAGGGCAGGATGGCACCGCGCTTCTCGCCCCTCCTCCTGATGACCCTCTTATTTTAGTCTCACCTCTGACCTCAAGCTTTTCCAACGCCCTAAGGTGGAGCCTACAGCTCAGCTGCCCCTACTGCTCCGTTCTCGTGGCATTCTGGCCAAACTTCTTTTAAGTGTGACCAGCCTGTGGCAGCACCACGGTCTGTTCATGTCTAGCTCCCCACTGGCTGTGGTTCCTCGAGGCCCCAGTAGCTAGCAGAGCGCCCGACTTGTGTGTTCGATACCCGCTACGCCATAAAGGGTGAACAAATCGTGTTTTCTCAAATGCCATTACTGTGGCCATTAAGTGGTTCCTATTCACCAGGGAATGAACGAGACTCAACACTACACCTTAGGGGCGCTCATATCACGACATGATTCTCATTTTCTCTCAGTGAGGCGGGGAGTGGCATTCTACCTATGGTCAGTCATGAATGTGCCACAAGGCCCTGAACTGCGAGATGCTAGTAAGCCTCACACTGAGCTGAGAAAGAGCTGCCATTTACAGTCTCTCAGCACAACCTGAAACACAGTAACAGCTGTAGCAGCAGCTAATATTTATTGAGAGTTTGCTATGTGTCAGGCACTGTTAGCACTACACGATCTCACTGCAATCTCATGCCCACCCTAGGGAGAGAACAACATTAGCTTCTCCTTTTTCAGACGGGAAAACTGAACACAGAGAGGTTGAGTAACTTGCTCAAATCCACACAGCTCAGAAGTGGAGAAACCTTTGGATGAGCCTAGACAGTCCAGCTTCTAAATACTGACTAACAGAACTCAGAAGGCAAGCAAACCTGATGGATGCATGTCATCAAAGGAATCACTGTCACTTTCTGACTCGTCCTCATCGTCTGCCTCGTCCTCCTCATATGCATCATTGCTGAATGTTTCTGTAGCCTACCATGAAAAATGAAAGTCATGATTACATCTAATATTCAGTCATCCTGACTTAGTTATTTCAAAGAAGGCAGATTTCAGGACTTCCCTGGTGGCGCAGTGGTTAAGAATCCACCTGCCAATGTAGGGGACATGGGTTCAAGCCCTGGCCCGGGAAGATCCCACATGCCGCGGAGCAAGTAAGCCTGTGCGCCACAACTCCTGAGCCTGCACTCTAGAGCCCGCGAGCCACAACTACTGAAACCCGTGCGCCTGGAACCACCGCAATGAGAAGCCTGCGCACTGCAATGAAGAGTAGCCCCCGCTTGCTGCAACTAGAGCCCGCGTGCAGCAACAAAGACCTAATGCAGCCAAAAATGAATAAAATAAATAAATTTAAAAAGACAGATTTCACACCTGGATTGATGGCTAATTTTTGTCATTTCAGTTAAAAGGTAAAAAAAAAAATCTAACCTCTTTGGCCCACAGAATCTACAGAGGACAGGACAGGTGGCCCGTGTCATGCAGCTCGGGAAAGCCACTCAAGAATGAAAGACTTCCCTGAGTGGGAGCCAAGGGGCAACAGCTTTGGGCTGGCACGGGGGATCTGCCAAGGTGGGGCCCTGGCTAAAAAAGTTCCTGGCTGCTGCTTGAGGCAGGGCATCTCAGGCCAATGGGCTAAATGATCCTTGAGATGGCAACTCCCAGCACTTTTCAGGAATGACATTTCTATTCTAAATTTTCATGGTATGAGTGACCACAACTGGGCAACTGTAAATAGGCAAAATATGAGTTTTGTAGCTCAGAGGGTAAAGAACACAGAATCTAGGGGCAAAAGACCTTAGATGCACGCAAACCATCAAAAGACAGGACACTGGGGCCAGGGAGGGAAGGGTGGCGGTAAACAAATACTTACGAGACATACCCTGAAAGCACTAACCATAAAGGAAAGAAACTGCTAAATTTCAGTTCATTAAAATAAGCTTCTGTTTATCAAAAGACATTATGAGAGTGTGAGGCAAACTACTGCACAGGGGCTAATAACTGCAATACAGATGTCCAAAGGGCTCAGAAGTAGAGCAGGTAAAATCTCCTACAGATCAATAGGAAAAAGGCAGGTGACCGAATGGAAACAGGGGCAAAGGACTTGAAAAGGCACTTCACCAAAGTGAATCTCCAAATGGCCAATAAGGCACCCGACTCCATTAGTCATCCAAAAATATTGATAAATTCAGCGATGTGAAAATCAAGAACTTCTATGTAGCAGCAGACAGCAAGAAGACAAGCCACAAACTGGGAGAAGATATCTGCAACACATACAAGAAAGGAGAAGTTTCTAGAACATTTAAAGAACTACCAATGAGTAGGAATAGACAAGTCAGCCAGAAAGTTTTGGGCAAAAGACCTAAACAAGCGTTCCACACAAGAAAAAACATGAAAGCTAACTAAAGGTATGAAAACATGCTCAACCTTTTTAATAATCAGGGAAATGCCAATGTGATATGTTATTTCATTACCACCAGAGATGGGCAAAAATGAAAAAGTCGGCAAGAATGTGAAGCAACAGGAATTCGTATGCACTGCTGGCAGGAGCACACAGACTACCTTTGAGGTATTTGAATCTGGCCTTCTTGTCCGCTTCATAATTTCCTCAATTCTCTATTTAAAGGAAAATAAAAATTCAAACATGAAAACAGATTAAAAACAAAACACTGGTCCTGAAGAAGTTGATTATTTCCATGTTCCAGAAGCGGACAATATATATCAGTGACTGCTCCAACGCCACAGATACAACCGACGCAAGACCCTGGGCCGGCACCTGGGTGCCTTCCTTCAAGCCCAGTTTCATGATCATCTAGAAAACACCCTGAGCAGTGATGGGCGTACTCGTTATCCTAACACAGAAATCCAAATGACTTCTCACTCCTGATTTTGCCGACATGGAAGTTTATTACTTAGACTAAGCACATATTATTGCAAACCAATTAGAACTTGTGAACATGATTTTAGTCTGAACAGACCACGAGTGAAACCGAGTTAATGAAAAGAATGCACCCCAACAATGCAACCCCGTCAGAGGTTTTGTTACTAGAAGGAGCACACGCAGGAGGGATAAGAGTTCCCTTCTTTCCTGAAGGTGAGGAGAGCTACAGCTCTCTGGCCTCCTCAGGGTGACTGATCTCCTGACAGAGACGCCATGAAGTACCTTGCTTGGTCCAGAGCCTTCCTTGCTCCCAGACAAGCCACGTGGGTTGCACAAAGTGAGGTCCTACCTTACAAACAGCCTGTGCCTTGGCTTCTCAGGGAAGCCTCCACCTTCTGCTTCTTCCCACTCAGTTGCTGAAATTTCCAGCCCAGTTTAGAAACAACTCTAACTTCCACCAACCCCTACCATGACCTGAGTGACTCTGTTCAAAGGACCTTTGTTCCCAGAGATTTGCTGTACAGAGATATCCCTGTAATGGTCATCAGTGGTCCACGAGGGAGACGGATGATCAGTAAGAGGAGATCATTCTAGGGAGAAGGGGTCAGATCCTTGGATAAGAGAGCACAGAGGGAAAACAACCAAGGCTAGCATATCACTTACTTGTCATTTTCTAAAACATGTTTTGATATCATGTGCCCAACATTGTTTTAAACAAAGAATCAAACCCCCCAAACAGAGAGAAGGAGTACCTTTTTTCTTTCTAATCTCTCCTGCAAATTCTGTAACATAATTCTCTCGTGTTCCTTCTTGCGTTTGTCAGCCTCCTCCTGAGCTTTTATTTTGGCATCGCTTTTCTAGAAAATTTGTACAAAAAAATCATTTAATCTCAATATATCTGAATGACATCAGTGAAACAGTAAGATGTTATCCAGAATAGAAGAATGTAACCTTTTGATTGAGAGTACCCACATATATAACATTCATGGATCATCAGTTTTCAAACCATTAGCAAAAATACACAAGAACTAGCCTATTATCACAAGGATTTACAAGCCATGCTAATCCCCTTCAGGAGCTCAGGGTTGTCAGACCACGATTGTTTCAAGTATGTATGTGATTGTGTAGTCTTCCACTGACACAGGCATCAGAAGCCAAGTCTTACACTTCTCAAAAGCAGCAAAAGGATTCCTAAAGGTACTTTCTCGAGGAATGCAAATGCATTACAATCATTTATGTAACATTTATTAATTGATTTTGATAAATGATACACTAAAACTGGAATATAAATTAGGCTACAACAATAATTTAAACTGAGTATGGTCTGAGCTCAGTTTGGGGGTTTAAATTTACATGGGTGACATTCTCATCAGTGAATCTGATGAGGCATCATAACTTGTATCGTATCTGTTGTGGCACAGGTGTTAAGTGTCACCACAGAATGCAGGGCTGGGAAAACTCACACAGGACGTTTAATCTCTGAGCGATCTGGATTTCCCGAAACCAAGCTGTAATATTATTTATGGAGACAAACTAAAGGACTGCTCATCTGTAATTTGCTGCTTTCTGCTTTTGTTTCACTTGTAAAACATTCTGGGATTCGGCCAAGGGTGGCTGAGAACAACTCACAGAGATACTGGTAACAGCGAGACTGTAACGTGAATGCAACCAGAGCATGCAGCATCTGCTTGCTTTCTGTCTTGGAGAAACAGACTTTTGCTTTGGGTTTCTACTGAATTTTAGAATCTGGTTCTCATCCCTTGATCAAGTGGGGAGCCGGCAAACCTGGAGTTCCACTCTTTGGTCTTGTTCTTCTTGACTTCCTTCCTTCTTTATCTCCTTTGGTGGTTGCCCATCTCCAAATTTTGAGAACTCCTCTTGTTGGCCTTCATCTGCTTTCTTTGCTATGTCTTTCATTTTCCTGATGACACAGAATACTTAAATAACTCTTATTATGTGCATTTTTATAGTAAAGCTGCTTGTGTATAGTAATACAATTTCTATTTACACCAGATTCACCACTTTTTCTGTGTTGTTACTACACAGGATTTGCATAATTTCACCTTTTTTAAATGGGGGAAGCTAGCCCTTGGGAGTAGAAAAAGATTTCTATCAAGTAGTGGGCTACTTTGCGTCTTAAAACACAAATGCGCGTGCTATAAAATCACTCCTTCTTAACTGTTTTAGACGTATGCTCACACCCAGTCTCACATGGGGGTGTGAGAGACGAATTTAGAGGAGGGTCTGGTGGTGCTCAGAGGAGAAAAGCCCAGTCTACAATGACTGGTATTCAGGGCTTTTAAAATGTTAAACTAGCTCTGTTTTACATGAAGCAATGAATAATATTCTTCAAGTTATAGGGGTGTTTTTTCTATTCATAATGTCTCCTCCTCCTTTCTCCCAAACCCATATAAGGTACATGGAAAGCATGTGACTGTGATTCAAAAACACTTAATACTTAAAAACAAAGTCAGGACTGTAGTTATTCTTTGCAGGCAGTGGACAGAGGTTTACATCAGAAGGCCCCAAATCAAATGGGCCTTGAGATCGAAGATCAAGAAACCTTTAGATTGAGGTAGAATGCACACAACTGTACATGACAATGGCAGCCCACAAGTCACTGGAAACCCAGTAAAACACAAGAAGTATCCTTTCCAGGTTTACAGATTTTTTCTTTTTTGGTAACTTTTTATTTTCAAACTTACAAAAAAGTTTCAAGCAAAGTTGCTTTACCAGTTACTAACTATGTGTGTGTATATATTATTTTCTATGAACCGTCTAAGGATTGAATTCTGAACTAAAACAAAACTGTATAAAGAATGTCACTGGGACAAATGGCAAATTGAACTGCTGACTCTGAATTAGAAAATAAAATAATAAATTTCCTGATATTAGTTATTATACTCTGGTTACGTCAGAGAATGCTTTTGTTCTTAGGAAGTATACACGGAAGTATTTAGTAGGAAAGGGTCATGATGTATGCAACTTATTCTTAAACAGGTTTACAAATTCTAAAGTTATAAAGGACTTTTGAAATAAAGAAAGGGGCTGATGCCAGTGAATGGCAACAGAAAGAGCCTTATGTGATCACTCAGGTGCTCCCACTGAGATCCAAGCCCCTGACATGAGTTCAGGTCTCTATGCATCTTTACAGCACACCTGATGGCACATGACACATAGAGACTAAAAAGGACCATACAGTCATCTACACACCAGCGTCCTGTCTGCTTGAAATGCTCCCCACATTTGTTTAAAAGGCGAGTCATTTCTGATTCACACTGGAGAAAAAGTCAGTTTACTATCTGAGAACTTATAATACATCTAACTTGAGGATAAAGTCTGACTTCCAGAATTCAGGCCCCAGCCAAGATTTACAATATAGAAAGGATGATTTTGTGCCAACCTTTGCTCCATCTCTTTTTGTAGTCTTTCTTCCTCTTTTTCCTTTTGTTCACGAGCAAGGCGTCGTTTCTCTGCCAAAATTTTTGTTGCCTCCTCGGCATTCATAGGCCCTGGTGTGCTTTTATTACCAGACTCTAATTTAAATTAACATGTAAAACAGTTAAGTTTAGGGAACTTACTGCCTCTAAGTCCAACAAAGAGGTGCAAGACAACCTGTGATGTTAAAAAAAACCAAACAGTATGTCCGTGGTCTAAAATGTATAAATAAACTATAAGTGATTTATGTAACAGCTTTTGTTCAAAAGCCCAGCTCCCGCCCCCTCACCCCCACCCCCCAACAACAGAAGTAGCATATTGTTGATTTTTAACAACTATCTGTTCCAAAATGAAATAATGTACTCCTGCTTTGGTTTAGCTGTTTTGAGATACCTGACTGAATTGCCTCTATGGGAAAAAACAAGATATACTGAATATAGAGGAAGACAAGCTTATGCTCGGTCCAAATGAAGTGTACAGATCTTTTATTTTTTAAGTTATTTTGTCATGCCATGCAGCTTGCAGGATCTTAGTTCCCTGACCAGGGATCGAACCTGGGCCCTGGCAGTAAAAGCGTCGAGTCCTTAACCACTGGACCGCCAGGGAATTCCCTGAAGTGTACAAATCTTAATTACTCGATTAAACAAAAATATATCCAGCGTACATTGTGCATCATCTTTACTAAATACATACTGTTTAGCTAACTGTTGATAATAGCATGCTAACATATTTGGTTGATCATAAAGTGGCTAACTGTAGATAATCAAAGAAACCAAGACTATCAGTAAAATCAAGTGACCACATGGAGGCATAACATTTTAGTTCACGTGACGAATTTGTTTTAAGTATGACGAATTTGTTTTAAATAAACTACATGCAAAAATGAGGATTTCAGGGCTTCCCTGGTGGCGCAGTGGTTGAGAGTCCGCCTGCTGATGCGGGGGACACGGGTTTGTGCCCCAGTCCAGGAAGATCCCACATGCTGCAGAGCGGCTGGGCCTGTGAGCCATGGCCGCTGAGCCTGCGCGTCCGGAGCCTGTGCTCCGCAATGCAAGAGGCCACAACGGTGAGAGGCCTGCGTACCGCAAAAAAAAAAAAAAAAGAGGATTTCAAAAAATCAGGAATAAATAATTTGTAATAAAAAGATCATTTCTGTTACAAAGAATTCACAGTGGAATTCCTTCAAAAAGCAAAATTCACGAATGTATTTAAAATTAAGTAATGTCAATGGATATTAAGAATGCATGTAATACCAAAAAAGAAAATTACAGGCCAATATCTTTCATGAATATAGATGCAAAAATTCTCAAAAAAAAAGTTAGCAAACCAAATCCAATGACACAAAAAAGATCATACACCATGATCAAGTTGGATTCATCACAGGGTCACAAGGATGGTTCAACAAACGCAAAGCAATCCATGTGATACAACACATCAACAAAAGAAATGACAAAAACCACATGATCATCTCAATAGATGCAGAAAAGGCTTCTGATAAAATTCAGCATCTCTTCATGATAAACTCTTACCAAAGTTGGTATAGATGGGACATATCTCAACATAATAAAAGCTTTGACAAACCTACAGCCAATCTAATACTCAAAAGTGAAAAGTTAAAAGCCTTTCTGCTAAAATCTGGAAGAAGACAAGGATGCCCACTCTCACCACTTCTATTCAACAACAGTATCGGAAGTCCTAGCCATAGCAATCAGAGAAGAAGAAGAAATAAAAGGTATCCAAATTGGAAGCAAAGAGGAAAACTGTCATTATATGTAGTTGACATGATATTATATATAGGAAACCCACACAAGACTCCACACAGAAACTACTAGAACTGATAAACAAATTCAAATTTTTGCATCTATATTCAACAAAGTAGCAGGATACAACATTAACATACAGAAATCCGTTGCATTTCTTTACACTAACAATGAAGTATCAGAAAGGGGAAAAAAATCCCTTTTAAAATTGCATCAAAAACAATAAAACACTTAGGAGTAAACCTGACTAAGGAGATAAAAGAGTTATACGCTGAGAACTATAAAACACTGATAAAGGAAACTGAAGATGATTTAAAGAAATGGAAAGATATCCCATGCTCTTGGATTGGAAGAATTAATATTGTTAAAATGGCCACACTACCCAAAGCAATCTACAGATTTAATGTGATCCCTATCAAATTACCCATGACATTTTTCACAGAACCAGAATAATCCTAAAATTTTTATGAAACCATACATAAAAGACTCAGAATATCCAAAGCAATCCCAAGGAAAAAGAACAAAGCTGGAGGCATAACCCTCCCAGACTTCAGACAATACTACAAAGCTATAGTAATCAAAACAGTGTGGTACAGGCACAAAAACAGACATATGGATCAATGGAACAGAATAGAGAGCCCAGAAATAAACCCACATATCTATGCTCAATTAATCTTTGACAAAGGAGGCAAGAATATACAACAGAGAAGACACGGTCTTTTCTGTAAGTGGTGTTGGGAAAGCTGGACAGCCACATGTAAGTCAATGAAGTCAGAACACTCCCTCACACCATACACAAAAATAAACTCAAAATAGCTTAAAGACTATTAAAATATAAAACTCCTAGAAGAGAACATAGGCAAAACATTCTCTGTCATAAATCGCAGCAATGTTTTCTTAGGTCAGTCTCCCAAGGCAATAGGAATAAAAGCAAAAATAAACAAATGGGACCTAATCAAACTTATAAGCTTTTTCACAGCAAAGGAAACCATAAGCAAAACAAAAAGACAACCTATGGACTGGGAGAAAATATCTGCAAATAATGTGACCTACAAGGTCTTAATTTCCAAAATATATAAACAGCTTATACAACTCAGTAACAAAAAAACAAAAGCCCAATCAAAAAATGGACAGAACTAAATAGACATTTCTCTAAAGAAGCCATATAGATGACCAAAAGGCACACGAAAAGATGCTCAACACCACAAATTATCAGAGAAATGCAAATCAAAACTACAATGAGGTATCACCTCACACCAGTCAGAATGGCCATCATGAAAAAGTCTACAAACAATCAGTGTTGGAGAGGGTGTGGAGAAAAAGGAACCCTCCTACACTGCTGGTGGGAATGTAAATTGGTAGAGCCCCTATGGAGAACAGTATGGAGGTTCCTTAAAAACTAAAAATAGGGGGCTTCCCTGGTGGCGCAGTGGTTGAGAGTCCGCCTGCCGATGCAGGGGACACAGGTTCGTGCCCTGGTCTGGGAAAAGCCCACATGCCGCAGAGCGGCTAGGCCCATGAGCCATGGCCGCTGAGCCTGCACGTCTGGAGCCTGTGCTCTGCAACGGGAGAGGCCACAACAGTGAGAGGCCCGCGTGCCACAAAAAAAAAAAAAAAAAAAAACTAAAAACAGAGCTACCATATGATCCTGCAATCCCACTCCTGGGCATTTATCTGGAGAAAACCATTAATTCGAAAAGATACATGCACCCCATTGTTCACAGCAGCATTATTTACATTAGCCAAGACATGGAAGCAAACCAAATGTCCATCGACAAAGGAGTGGATAAAGAAGATGTGGTACATATATACAATGGAATATTACTCGGCCATAAAAAAGAATGAAATAATGCCATTTGCAGCAACATATTAGGACCAAGATGTTATCATACTAAGTGAAGTAAGCTAGACAGAGAGAGACAAATAACATATGATATCGCTTATATGTGGAATCTAAGAAAATGATACAAATGAAGTTATTTACAATACAGAAATAGACTCACAGACATAGGAAACAATCTTATGGTTACCAAAGGGGAGGGGTGGGGAGGGATAAATTAGGAGTTTGGGGGCTTCCCTGGTGGCGCAGTGGTTGAGAATCTGCCTGCCAATGCAGGGGACACGGGTTCGAGCCCTGGTCTGGGAAGATCCCACATGCCGCAGAGCAACTAAGCCCGTGAGCCACAATTACTGAGCCTGTGCGTCTGGAGCCTGTGCTCCGTAACAAGAGAGGCCGCGATAGTGAGAGGCCCGTGCACCGCGATGAAGAGCGGCCCCCGCTTGCCCCAACTAGAGAAAGCCCTCGCACAGAAACGAAGACTCAACACAGCCATAAAAAATAAATAAATAAAATTTTTTTAAAAATTAGGAGTTTGGGATTAAAATATACACACTACTATATATAAAACAGAAAACCAACAAGGACCTACTGTATAGCACACGGAACTATACTCAATATCTTGTAATAACCTATAATGGAAGAGAATGTAAAAAAAGAATGTGTATATTTATATATATATATATATATGTATGTATTAACTGAATCACTTTGCTGTACACCTGAAACTAACACAACATTGTAAGTCAACTGTATTTCAATTAAAATTTTAAAAAAACAAAACAGAAACAGACTCACAGAATAGAAAACAAACTCACGGTTACCAAAGGGGAAAGGAGCAGGGGGAGGGATAAATTAGGAGTTTGGGATTAGCAGATATGAACTACTATATATAAAATAAACAATAAGGTCCTACTGTATAGCACTGGAAACTACATTCAATATCTTGCAATAACCTATAATGAAAAAGAATATGAAGAAGAATACATATATAGCTGATTCACTTTGCTGTATACCAGAAACTAACACAACATTGTAAATCAACTGTACTTCAATTAAAAAAAAGAATGGCAAAATACCAATATGATACTTTTTGGAACCCACATGCTGACCTGACACATGTATGGTCTATGTATGGAAACTGCCCTACAGCTCCTGAAGGAAACCTGCTCAGCCACAAATGGCTGGAGTGCTCTCTCCAAGGACGGAAAATACCTTAGGGCCATCCACTATCGGAGCTGGAAGGAAATGCAGCCACCACCTAGACCATGGCACTCATCCAACCCATCCATACTTCCAATATCAGTTCCAAAAATGGGGGTAAGAAGTTCCAGCAAGAAAAAATAAAGCAGTGTGCCAGCGTGACTGGTGAAATTCTCTTTATTTAAAAGAAAGTTCGCTTCCTAAAGTTCTCTGAACTGGGGAATAAAATGACGTTGACAGTTCCCAAACTACCTTAAGATTTTCTGTGCTGCTGAAATGAACTTCTTAGTGAAGGAACTCACCTTCACAGATCATATCCTTTTGGCTTGCAGTCTCAGAGCTGTTAATGGTGTTAGAGATGGCTTCATTTTTCATTCCAATAGTACCTAATGCATTTTGTGCAAATACGGTACGCTGCATAGGAATTACTCTACAGGAAAAAGAAAACTGTGTCGACTGTTTTGACGTGGCGGGTGAAGGTGACGGGGGGCGATTCTTTTGGATTTGCCTGCTGGGAAAAAGTAATAGTTAATGGGGTAAGTCTGGTATGGTTTTGTAATACATATGTGATGATTTTTAGTGTACCATTTCATAAACTGTAATGTCTTGACTTTATGATATAATGATATTTTATAACAGACAAAGGTAAATCCATTTTTAAAGGCTTTTCCCTTTATATTTACATTACCATGCATACTACATAATTTATGAAACACTGATGTGAAATTTATCCTGGTAAAATACGTATCAGGAACAGTGGCAAATAAGCTACTTACCTAGCACTGATGGGAGATGGAGAACACCACCTGCTTGTAGGAGAAGATGACCATCTATAACACGGTATCTGTGATGGTGATAGGCGCTTCTTTGTAATCGGGTTTGAGGCCTGTTTGTCCGTTTCTGATTTCTGAACAGATCAATACAATCAGATAAGAAATTACTAGCATTACCTTTTGCAGCTGGCTTTTCAAGAGAAAAATATTCTGAATAACATATAATTATAGCTCCTTAAACTCCCAATTTTCCTTTCATGCATGAGCATTAGGTACAGAGATACATTCTTCCAGACTAACAATTTATATTACACAATTCAAGTATGTCATAGAAATAATTTAAAAGAATTCTTTTACTTCAAAACCTACTTTTATTTTTAAATCCTAATTGAGGTTTGCAATAGTTCTCAAAAACGTTCCTTCAGAGTTTAGAAACACAGTTCATATAAACTGCTTTATTTTGTCTCTTCTACTAAAAATTAACTAATATTCCAGCTTTGGGGGGGTAAACTGCGACAACGAATATCATATAATTTTAAATTATTAAAGTGAATTTATTTTATCACAGAACGCTATAAATAAGAAGTTGCTTATGTTGTGAAATCTGACCTATCATAATCTATACAACAAAACATACAGATTTTAATAGAAAATTTCTCAATGAAAGGCACTTGTCGAACCTGTGGAGAGTCTTTCATTTTCACCTTGGAAGACATTCCCATGGTCACCGCAGGGGAGGCCTCGGGGGACGCCTCCATACTTGCCTCAGAGGGCACTTCTGTGCTCTCCTCTGGGGATGCTTCCACGTTCGCCTCAGGAGATGCTTCCACACTAGCCTCAGATGACGCTTCCGTGCTCACCTCTGGGGACGAGTCCACGCTCACCTCTGGGGATGAGTCCATGCTCACCTGTGGGGACGGATCTACACTCGCCTCAAGGAACAGATCCTCGCTTGCCTCAGGTGATGTTTCCACACTAGTGGGGGGTGTTCCTGCGCTTGCCTCGGGGGGTGCTTCCACGCTCACCTCGGTGGATACTTCCAAGCTTGCCTCGGGAGGTGCTTCCACACTCACCTCGGTGGGTACTTCCAAGCTTGCCTCGGGAGGTGCTTCCACGCTCACCTCAGGGGATACTTCCAAGCTTGCCTCGGGGGATACTTCCAAGCTTGCCTTGGGGGGTGCTTCCATGCTCACCTCCAGGGGCACTTCCACACTCGCCTTGGGGGCCGTTTCCACGCTTGTCTTGGAGGGTGTGTCTACTTTCTCCTGGGGAGGTATTACCACTGTTGACTTGTGAGGCACTATGGTACTCTTCAATTCATCACTGCTGTGCTTAAGCAGGGGCATGTTTACATATTGGAATATATTGTGGATGCCTGTAGGTAAATGAGGACAGAGAGTGAAATTCCACACAGCTAGAAATTTGATACGACAGAAATGCACCATGTAACAATATAAAAACAAAGAGACTGCATTTATTAGGAAATGACAGGGATTACACACAACACAGAAATGTTTACTGAAATGGATCACAGACACAGAACAGAAGCATCGCAAAGTTGGTACTTCAGAAGCAGCACCACCACCAAGAGAGGCATTGTGAAGACAATAGTCCACTCCAGACGAAAATAAGATGCTTCTCCAAAGCTGATGTTTGCCGTAAGCCATTTCTATTTTAATCACACTATAGTTCAGAATGATTTTCATAGAAAATTACAAGACCTTCAATGCTTTTTAAAAGTAATCTAAACAATGTCACCAAGGCCAGGGATCTTACCATTACAGGTGATTACATAAGGCATTCTATATATGATCGTTTTAAAATAGAGTATAAAAAAGCATTTTCTCACCCATACTAAAAATTGTAATAAGACATTAATCAGAATGGGCTGGATCTCCAAGGTCTCTTCCAGCTTTAACAATCTCAATATTTTTAGCCTAACAAATGGACAAAAGTCCTAATATCCGGTACCAGCTAAGATGGAGGAAAGTGATAATACCAATGTTGGGAACCAGGTAACCTCATGCACTGCTGGTGGAAGTATGGATTGGTATATGCTCCCTGGGAAGCATGTTGGCAACAGTGTATCAAAAGCCATTCTAAAAAGTACACACTCGGGACGTCCCTGGTGGTCCAGTGGCTAAGAATCTGCCTTCCAATGCAGGAGACAAGGGTTCGAGCCCTGGGTGGGGAACTAAGATCCCACATGCCGCGGGGCACTTAAGCCTGCACGCTCTAGAGCCCACGCGCCACAACTAGAGAGCCTGCGTGCTGCAACTACTGAGCCCACGCGTGCACACCAGAGAGAAGCCTGTGCACCACAACAAAGATCCCGCATGCCGCAACTAAGACCCAACGCAGCCAAATCAATCAATCAATCAGTATTTTTTTAAAATAAAAAGTCCACACTCTTTGTTCTTGCAAGTTCACTTTTAGGTTATTCTGAAGAAAAAATCAGATAAATAAATGAAAATGTATGTATGAGATTACTTACTACAGCATTGTTTAATAATATAATTTAATAATTATATTTAAATATAATCTAAATATTCAACACAAAACTTGGACTATACTAAGGCAGTCATTAAGAGTAATAATATACAATTTTTGGACATAGAAAACGGTATATGTTGAGTTTAAACAAAAGCAGGTTATGATCCCATTCTATTAAAAAATATGTAAACGCAAAGAAAAATATTCAGTTATCAGTGGGTATTGGAATAATAGAAAATTGTATTTAAAAATTTTCTACACTAAATATTTATTGCTTTATAATAAAGTGATTTTTTTTTTTTTTTTTTGGCCATACCACGTGGCTTGTGGGATCTTAGTTCCCCGACCAGGAACAGAACCTGGGCCCTCGGCAGTGAGAGCGTGGAGTCCTAACCACTGGACCACCAGGGCATTCCCTAAAGTAAACATTTTAAGGAAGGTGTTTGGTGGTGGCTTTCTAAAGACTTGGTAAATATAAGACTCGGTTATTTTTTAGTCCCTCACTTTTGGTAGAGAAAGCATTTTACTTACATACTTGTATGTGCCTAAACAGTCACTTATTTAACACTGACTGTGCTACAGAAAATAGAGTAAGTATAATAACTAGATTTCTAATAGCTACAGAAATTTAAGGCAAAATATTGAGGTTTTTAATAGGAGTAATATATTAAAATAAAATGAAAGTAATTAGAATACCTTACAATAGACTCAGGGGAGACTGGTAGAAAATAATGACACACATACAACTAGGCATAAACAAAGTTGAGGATTTGAACCAAGAGAAGTAAAGCTGCACTACCACAAAGTCTATGACAGCACTTTGGTTTACTAATCATATGGATATTGACATAAAAATAAGCAAAGGGGGTGGGATATATTCTGGAAAGGAAAAAGTGGAGAAAAAAAGACAAAAAGGATGGGAACAATGCACTAGAGCTCTCCATTACTAAGGACTTACTATCTAAAGGCATGTCTAACATGATATGTAACCTATAAATGAGAAAATCCACATAACCCTGAAGATCTGTTTTATTTTACTAACAATCTTTATGTTCTTAATTAAAAGCTAAAGAGCCGCTCAATGTTATTCTTCCACATTTTAAGAAAAAAAGAAGGGTGGAGTAGGACCCTTTCTCCCTTGATATTATTTAAGTTTTTCTATATTTTTAAAATCCAGTACTTTTCACAGTACTGTGATACACTTAAACACAGGTTAAGAAACCCACTGTTTTACAATTTAACAACCAAAGGTCCCTATCTCATCCTATAAATTACACTGATAACTATTCTACCCTGCTAGAAATCATAAATATGCAACATAAAATGTTGGGTAGAATCACTCATTTGCAAAGTATTGATTCAGATTATTTTTATGCCTTACTGTAAAAAACTAAGTGATACAACCTACTATTAAGCACAAATACTAACACTTTCAGGCACTCTACTCTATGCCTGTTACCTGGAGTACCGCTTCCAGAAATTAATAATGAAACAGCACTTTTGTTCCTGGCTACTGACACTTTTGTTGGGATGAACAGGAGACGGATTAAATTATTCTCCCAAAGACTAGTGTATAACTGACAAACTAAATGATGAGAAAAAACGAAAGGATTTGATTCGAGGTCTCACAAATAAATGCAAAGCAATGTGAACTGCTGCAAATGATAACTTTCCCAGCCTAAAAGCAGAGGCAATGAGAGCCACACATATATAACAGGACTGAAAACTGCCACCTGATGGGACTACACTGTTAGGGAAAAGAATACCTGAATAGAGGGGCAAAGGCCCCAGCATACCACAAGAACCCCAAAGCAGGAATCCACGTAATGTATCTAGCAGAACCATACCTAATGTATGGAGTCTCTACAGAGGAACTCACACGTGGAGAAAATAGTTGTACATGACAAAACAACTCTGACATGGATTCCTCCAGATGTATGTCACTGACAGTCATATTGGTCAAGTCGATTGCCAATAGCTCCAAGAGACTGAGTGAATTATTCTGTTAAAAGTAAATCTTGTAAATAGCTTGCTCCAATAAATTTTTATGTTCAAAAAGATCCCTGTGGGGGCTTCCCTGGTGGCGCAGTGGTTAAGAATCCACCTGCCAATGCAGGGGACACAGGTTCGAGCCCTGGTCCGGGAAGATCCCACACGCCGCAGAGCAACTAAGCCCATGAGCCACAACTACTGAAGCCCACGTGCCTAGAGTCCGTGCTCCGCAACAAGAGAAGCCACTGCAACGAGAAGCCCACACACCGCGACGAAGGGTAGCCCCTGCTCGCTGCAACTAGAGAAAGCCCGTGCACAGCAACAAAGACCCAACACAGGGCTTCCCTGGTGGCGCAGTGGTTGAGAGTCCGCCTGCCGATGCAGGGGACATGGGTTCGTGCCCCAGTCTGGGAAGATCCCACATGCCGCGGAGCGGCTGGGCCCGTGAGCCATGGCCGTTGAGCCTGTGTGTCCGGAAAAAAAGACCCAACACAGCCAAAAATAAAAATAAATAAATTTATAAAAAAAAGAAAAAAGATCCCTGTGACAATGACATTTGTTATAACAGGATGTGACCTGAATCAATTAAATGGAGAGTCTTCTGTAAGTGAACAGTTTGTTACGGAAAAGAAAGGAAAATTATGTTTAACAGAGAAAACTTAGGGGGGTGTTAGAAACAACTTTACATAAAGAAGTACTTCAGTAATAATTTGGAAATCTTGTGTGTAATCACCAGCAGTGAAAACACGCCCAAAGGATAGATGTAGATTATGCTGTGAAGCAACAAAGCCAAGCTTTGAAGTTCAAAATGTTGCCGGTAATTTAGAACTTCAATGTGCGAACTGATGAAACGTTTGAAGGGAATCAAGTGCTTCAGGACAACTCTGTCTATACCAACATTCTGTGACCTCCTCAGCTTCATTGCAGAATTATATATTTCATTTAAAGAGACTCTTCTGGCTTCAGCCAAATAAGCATGGCACCAAAGTACATTTTTTAGTTAAAGAAGGGATATTTTGGCTTCCAATGTTTTGGAATGGCTTTTCAAGCAGCTGAATGTTGACATAAATATAATGCTTTTAAACCACCATTTAAGATCGGTACATAGAAATAACTAACCAGGTGTTTTTTCTTCCACTTGTTCTGTAGATGAATGCAGTTTGCTACATCTTCTATTCAGAGATGAGCTTCTCCTCTTTTCTGTTGTTTCTGGAGATCAAGGGCAAAGAATTTTACCTTTTACAAGCTGTTTATATATATTATTTCAGGGGTGAGCCACCCGTTCCCAAACATTTTTTATCTTATTTAAATTTCAAGTATTATGCAGAAATTTTACATGCCCAAACTTAAAACTAGTTTACTCTTTAAGTAAGTTATACGAAGTGAAATAAAATTATTTAGGAAACAGTAAAAATTAAGCGGGAAAATCTGATACTGACAACATCAAAGTTCCCAAATTAGGAATATACAACATTTAATTTTGGACACAGTCCATAACATCTATTACTAAAGTAATTTATAGTTTAGTTTTAACTTGGTTTTTTTGTTTTTTGTTTTTTTTGGCTGTGCCACGCGGCTTGTGGGATCTTAGTTCCCTGACCAGGGATTGAACCCAGGCCACGGCAAGGAAAGCACCGAGTCCTAACAACTGGACTGCCAGGAAAGTCCCTTAACTAGCATTTTTTAAATAAAAATGATCATTAACATTTGGTATAGATGTCACAATTTTAGCAACCCAAGCCAGTCATATGGGAAAAGACACTTCAAACTCAAATGAAGACAGGTTTTATTTCAATTTGAAGGGATTTTACAAAGGTAAGCCACTGACAATATTGATTTTATTTTCAATAAAATTATTGGAATCATTAATTTAATGGCATTCATCATTTCAGAGTGTGCAATATACTGTAACTTTAAGCAAACTCTTTCATAAAGTATCTTCCACACATACCTTCTTATATTAAAAAGTTACTTGGAATTGTTCCTTCAGCGCAATTCAACTAATTATTAACTTGAAAGTCATCACCTGTCCCTTCTCTTTACATGTCTCATTGATACAGCAGGCACACATATTAATGAAAACACACTAGTGTTTGCTCATTATATTAAAAATGTAATAAATGTCTGTGCAAGAAATCTCTGCTAATTCCTCCAAGCAATTAGATAGTAAAACATGGCCAATGCTTATGAAACAATTAAAATAAATTAAAATGAAAGTATATAAACATAACATTGCAATGAATGTTACCTAATTTTTCTAAAGGATTGAGTTTGTGAATAATAAATTAATTACATGACAAGCAAGGTGTTAAAGAAAATCCTCCCACATTAATCTATGAATGAACCTGGACTATACATTAAAGTGCTCTGGGAAAGCATATTGAGGGTAAGGGTGGAAAGTGGATCAACTTTAGTTGGACCATTACAAGAGAAAATTAGATGCACCAAGACTGACAAACAATGAAAGACCTCTCAAGTTCATCGTTGGAAACTGTAAGAGTTCTAAAAGTACAAATAACGTAAGGATGAACAAAACAAAAATCCTTTTCAACGTATTAAAACTATAATACTTAGACAAAAATGGAAATCTTTCCTATTAAGTTAGCCATTGCTACAATTAACTAATTATACTTTAAATGAGGTCCAGAATCTTTTGCTGTAGTAGAATTTTAGAGCAATCAGCATTGCTCAAAAAACTGCCAAGGCACTTAATAATACAAAAGAAACATTTTTAATTCAAACTATAATTATGCCTTTGTCACAATTCACAAGGTACAAAGGTGGTATTTCTTCTTTTCTTACGGCTAAGTTTGAGGGAATGATGTGGAGTATGTCTGCCATGTCTTTTTCCTGCCCAGATCACTTCTGTTTTTTTCTCCATATGGGTATGGCTGTCTAATCCATTTCAATTATCAATGAGAAGCACCATGTACTACAAGCCAGAAATGGTCATTGACACACACTCTGGTAAAGACTTTTTTTTAAAGATAAGGAACTCTAGGGAATTCCCTGGCTGTCCAGTGGTTAGGACTCCGTGCTTTCACTGCGTACGGTACGGGTTCAATCCCTGGTCGAGGAACTAAGTAAAATCCCACAAGCCGGGCAGCCAAAAGAAAAAAAAAGAAAAAAAGGAACGCTAATTAAAAGTGCAAACACTAGGAGCAAAAGGTATTTGAAGTATCCATAGTAGATAACTTTGTTTTATTTTACAGAACACTGCATTACCTGCAGGAAAAGTTGTAAGGTGGAGCTTAGCAATACTTCTCTCATTAAACACTGTTACCACTTTATTTGCTTTGGGGGAAGACATGGACTTGCTAGTGGAATGTACAATTTAAATACCATGATCCATCTATCAAATGACTAAAATATAAACCATAAATAAGTATGGTGGAGTGGAAATCACCGAATTTCTTGGGGTCTTAACTATACAACTAGGAAGGTAATTATACTTGCCTGTCAACTTTATATATATGTGAAGCAGATCAACCTGTCCACTGCTATATATATGCTATTATTTTCCTTAAATGAGGTAATATTCATGAAACTTAATGAAAACTGAATGACTAGTCTAGTCCCTAGAAAAAGTGATTTCATTTATAGGTTAGATAGAATATGAATTAATTCTAAAATAAATTATTGTGCCACCTAATGGCAATGTCTTTTGGTCAAAATATGTTTCATATTTGTTGGGCTACCTAAGCCCAACAAACCCATCTGATATGATTATTACACAAATCAAGAAACAAGTATTTATACTGATGAAAATACAGAATAGTAATGACCATCTCTACTGTAAAACAAGGTGGTGTTCTTCTGAATTGTCCTACAATCTAAATAAGTGGTACTGTGGAAATACATATAAAGAATTGATTTCATTGGTTTGAAACTCAGTAGAATACATGAAATAACTACTTACTCTTGGCAATAGAATTTTGAGGACTTGCAGATGACACTTGTTTATGTAATCCAGAAGTCCCCTGTTCAAGCTTTTCAGTAGATACAGAATGTCTGTTGGCTGAGAAAAGATATAAGATTTACTGTACTCATATTTAAAAAAGCATCACTAGCTGAAACAAAATGAGTTCATGATGTACTTCTATGGAGCATAAACTATACAAATTTTACTTACATTTTATGCAACTGTATTGAATTATGTCTACACATAGGAAAAATTTACAGTACATCAATATTAAACAAGACTATTTTTAAAATATGCACTGGATAAAGCTGTGTAAAGCTTATCAATTATTATTCATTTTTACACTGATTACAAGTTTAAATGGTAAGATTTTGGATACAGTGGATAAAATACAATTACTATAAAATTTCACCTGGTTCTTTGGCGATCTCACATGACACAAATTTAAACGCATGCCAAAGAGTAAGTACATGGCAGTGTTTTCACCTAGGATACAAAGCTCAAAACCTTTTGTAGTAAATGCAACCTTATACTAGTAGCCAATATTTACATGTGAAAATGAATGAACTTAAAGTTTAGCAGTTGTATTAATTACCTGTTTTATTCTGATAGTTCACTGTTGTAGAGCCTTCCCATGACCATCTTTTTTGATGATCAATACGGCTGCTCCGTTCCAGTGTACGATGAAGGGCAGCTTTGAATCTCTCCTATTTAAAATAAATGCCAACAAATTTTTACATATGCATTATATTGATTAGTATAATTTTGATCTGTCGGTTATAAAATACCCCCACTACCAAATTTTTCAATCAGGCAAATTTTTTTAAATAAAAGATAGAACTGGAAACATCTCAGGTAAAAAGTTAAAGTTCAATACATCTCAGGTATCAATCCACATTCTCCCGAATAACTAGGTTTTAATCTTAGGGACACGAATCGAGGAGCTGGCTGTGCTTCCCTCTTTGCTTATTATATCATTAGGAAATTTAGAACCAAACGTGTAGCCTATTCTAGCAACTATACAAGGACTGAGTGGTACACTTTGGTGTATGCTAATTATACCTTATGTTTTATTATTTTCTTACTTTAATTTCCCCCTCTGCTTGATTCCCTCAACCACTTATTTTCTCATCTGGTTGTGGTATGTCTTTTTTAAAATATACCTTAAATTCTTTGTAGAATGAGGCAGGAAAAACAAATCAACTAATACACATATGTGAAATCTATGCCAGATCATCTGTTATACCCACATTTGTAACATCTTAAATTCTGGCGTTAACTAATCAAATTTTTAAAAAGAGATGTGTTTGTCTGGACCTCAGCTTCAATTTGAACTGGGCAGGATAACAGCTCTACAAATGTAAATGCTACACTGTGGCGAAACAAGGCCATTGCTGGAAATGAGAGGCAGTTTTCTGTTTTCAGCTATTCCTCACCCTGTGCTGTAACATACCATGGACTACACTCAGGTAAGCAAATCAACTCGGGGCCAGAAGGTTTTCTATTCTTCCCTGACAACAATCGTTTCATAGCAACATCATCCTTACGATGTTCCCACCGTTTCTCTGAGGGCAAATAGGGTAAACATACTAGGAAAACAGAGTCACCCATATCCTCTGAGAAAAGCAACTGCAATTCTTAAAATAAAACTTATCTAATGGCAATATTTTAAAATTATATTTTCTGACAGAAAGTAAGTTTTTCTAAATTACTTAGACACCCAAAAAGTATAATAAAGACTAAAAACAGAGAATATTCTTGTATTTCTCAAACATCTCTGATTCCTAAGCATTCTAACCTGCTGTTTCCAGATGCGCTGACCCTCTGTGCTCTTTCAGGTTCCTTCCGGGAGCCACGGCTCCCGTGCAAGCTCCCGGCCTGCCTCCCATGCAGCCCCGCCCACACTCACCCCTCCTCAGCACTCCTCTTTTCCTCCGTGCAGCCTCCTCACAGTGTCGACCTGTCCCTGCTCTGTCTGGGACTCACCCATGCTGGCTCTCAGGGGTCGGTTCTCTTTTGCCCTTTCTCCTTGTCTTCTGGCCTCTTCTCCTGCCCTGTCTCTGGCTCCCGCTCTGTCTACAGTATCATTTTGTTGCTTCTTCTTTCTTGGTGTTCTCTCTCTCAGGTTCCTCTTTCTCTAAGATGGCCCTTTTCTCTCCCAGTCCCCAGGACTCTCTCTCCTCCAGGGACCCTCCCCGACTCTGTGCACAGTTTTCTATTTTACTTTCTTTGGTTGTCTCTTTACCTAGTTCAGTCTCTCTGGCCTTCACTCTCTTTACCACAGAGAAGTAAATTAAGGAGATGTTTCACAGAGGAAGACAGAGAGTGACACAAGTTCTGAATGAGAATTCATTAAATACTGGAATGTGCTAGAAGGAAAAAAAAAGACAGAGAAGGTGCTAGTGGACCATGGACAGGGAAGAAACAGCACAGGAATAGTCCTAGAATAAGGAAGATTTGCCAATTGGGGTAAGGGCTGGGGGGTGAGGCACTTGCAAGAGCCAACTGTGTGCAAAAATTAGGAGGAAAAGCGAGCACCACAGAGAAGGGGGCTCTTAGGGAGAAATGAAACCAAAGAGAAAAGGAGAGGGAAAAACATTTTAAAATTGGACCAACAGAAAAAAAAGAGAGGGAGATAAAAACCCATATACTGAGAGAGGCAGAAACTCTATAAAGATGGGGAGAGAAAAGAGGGAGAAGCTAAGACAAAGAAAGCAGAAAGAAAAGGGAGGTGCCTCGGGCAGAAAAAGGTCAGTCAGTCAGACAGAGAGCCAAAGACAGACCAAGGCTCACTCAGGGACACTTGAGAGTCACTGGAACAAAGAAAAGAGGGAATGACAGCGAGGAACAGGACAGAACATGTGAATTCAGAAGGAGCCAAGGACACTCAGAGGAGAGCTGTGGAACAACCTACAGGGGAACAACTTGGTGCCACAGAGAATCATACAGATTGAGACAGGCAGCCAGATGCCCACACAACAGTCAAAGACAAACTGAATGAAGAGCGCCAGAGGGGGAAAGAGAGGGCACAACAGAGGCAGTGACTCATACCAACAGAGTGCCAAAGACACCAAAGCAGAGTCCCGACAGGAAAAGAGAGCAGGGCTACAAAACAACAGAGAGGAAGAAAAGGAACAAGAAGGGGAGGGGGGAGAGAGCGCGAAGGAGAGAGAGCCAGGGAACCGTGGGAGAGTGCGAGGCTCTCGCTTGGCTGGGCCTCTGCCACTCACTCGATGAGCCGATGAGCGAGTGCTGAGGTGAGAAGCAGAGCAGGTCAGGGTCACAAGGGGGCCTCTCAGGGGCCCTAGGTGAATACTAGGCAATGGGACAACACCTTTTGTAGGATAGAAAGCCGCTCAGAGCAAAGCCCAGGCTGCAGGCACCCTGCAAGTGGACAGGGTTCTCCCTGGACGTGCAAGGCTCGGATCAGGATGGGGCAAGAGGTGCTAATGTTGAAGGAAAGAAGAAAGAAGATTTGGGATTGGTTCCAGTAAAAGCAGAGAAGGGCTAAGAAAAAAGTACTGCAGAACCAGGCAACACAGTGCATCATCTGATTAACAGGCTGGAAACATGTACCCTTTCTTCCTGTAACTTTTCGTTTCTCTTTTTTTCTGCAGATATTCTCCGTTGTTCATCCTTTTCTTTCTGTTCCCTCAGCTTTCGCTGCTTTTCTTCCATCTGTTTTTCGTATACGATCTTAGACTTTCTTTCTTTTTCAAGTAGCTGTGTCTCTTTATTAGCTGAAATATTCCAAATGCAAGGTAAGAGCCAAGAAAATATTTAAGTTTTCCACATTACAGACAGAGAAGGAAAAAGTTTATATTTTATTCTCTTTCTTAAAAATAACATAACCTGTGCTAATGACTAAAGACTTATTATATAAGTGAACAGAGATGGCCACAAAAGAATCATTTCCACTGGGTGTTCATTTAACTCCTGAGAACTGAATTGGCTTAGATGACTCTCCTGTCCGAACTAAAATTCCAAATTCAGAAGAAATGTTTTCTTTCATGTGATGTTTCTGCTGACTTGAGCTGAAGTCAAACCCCATCCGATTAATATGCTGTACATTAAAACAAGATGTAAAAAAACACATGGCCAAAATATACGTTTTTTTCCCTTCTATTAGGAAACTTCTTTTCAAAGGCCTCATCTAGACAGACCATATTAAGCATGCCAGTTTGACCTTCGTGGGCTTTAGGCACATACCACATTACTGACCAGCATGATGCTTTCCTGCGTTCAAATTTCCCCTCACTAAAGCCTGGAGAGCCATCTATGAAGTTGTAAAATACTCTTCTAAAGAGCTACAGGAAGAAACAGCTCCTCACCAAAACAAAGACAATTGCTATTTTATTTGAATGAACTTGAGCACTAGTTTTGCAGTGGATTTACAGGGCCAGATGAGAAAAATACATAGATGAAAAAAAGTATTCTCTCAAGGTGTAGAAAGATTATTCTTTTAGATCCTAATTGATACAAAGTTACACTCGAAAAGCATAGCAATCAGTGAAAGATACCATATCTATGTTAGGATTATTAGCAACTCCATTTTTTGTTTTTTTGGTTTTTGTTTTTGTTTTGGAACCCACCCCCAGCAGTGAAAGCAGACTGCTAACCACTGGACCACCAGGGAATTTCCTCATTTTTGTTTCTAAGTCATTTTTATGAAATCCCATTTTGCTTGTTTCTACAAATGTTGAAGAAATTTTCATACCTTAATTTTCAGAAAATTAAAGCTAACAGAAACTACTAGTTCAAAAATAAAACAATTTGGTCAAAATATTTTTCATGGACCTTCTTTATCTCATTTAGTATAAACTCTTAATCCAGTATAACACATACTGTAAAACGTGTAATCTATCATATGAACAGATTAAAAAGTAAGTAAAACCACTTTGGAAATATGTAACTTTAACATAAAATTCACTCATTTTAACTTTTTTAAAAAAAGTCTAAAATATACCATCATCTTGTCTTTTTTTCTCCTCTCTGCGTTCCTTTGCTAATCTTTGCTTTACATCATTTTTAAGCACAGATCCATCTATTACTAAAAAAAAGAAAGAATACAGTTAGACATAGGATATCAAACTTTAAGGATATAACACTTTGACATCTATCAAAGCATTCTAGAAATTATACCTGGTTTAAATGCTGATTTTATATTTGAGGGCTGTGATGGAAGAGCGCTAAAGCTACCCTGACTCCGTCTTTCTTCAGCAATGGCATTAGCAGCAGCAACTAAAATACAGGGAGATAAAGGAAAGGGATTCGATATTAAGAATACAAACAGTGGGACTTCCCTGGTGGCACAGTGGTTAGGAGTCCACCTGCCAATGTAGGGGACGCGGGTTCGAGCCCTGGTCCGGGAGGATCCCACATACCCCAGAGCAAGTGGGCCCGTGTGCCACAGCTACTGAGCCTGCGCTCTAGAGCCCAGGAACCACAACTACTGAGCCCGCGTGCCACAGCTACTGAAGCCTGCACACCTGGAGCCCGTGCTCTGAGACAGGGGAGGCCACTGCGGTGAGAAGCCCACGCACCACAGCGACCCAGCTCGCCACAGCTGGAGAAGGCCCGCATGCAGCAACGAAGACCCAACACAACCATAAATAAATTAATTAATTTTTAAAAAAAGAATACGAACAGCTAATCCAGGGGTGGCAAAGCACAGCCAATTTTATCTTCGATGATAAAGGACAGAATCTCTTCTACAAGGCAAAATCATGACAGACTCTGGGTCAGCAAAGACATACTGCATACCTATGATGTTCAACAATAATTCAACAAAGAATTAACAGTGTTTACCGTAGACATGCCAGCCTATCTGTGCGCACAGAGTTGTCAGTAGAAGTAGCAGCACGAGCTGGTGGGTGAGTAAGAGCTGATTAATAGCTTTCAAAAATGCCTCAGACAGACATTACAGCAAGTACTAGAAAAACTGAGCTGGCAAGGATTTGGAAAAATGTTTCGCCATAAATTGGGGGAATTTAGAAAAAGATTTGGAGTTTATGGATCTGAATTTGGATGCAAAAGTGTCAACGGTGAGAGCCTCAGAGATTGGGCCCAATATAAGGAGTACATGTATAAATTACCTAGGTCAGGGGCTTCCAACCCTGGCTCCACAAGAGAGTCACCCAAATTGCTTTTAAAAAAAATTAGCAAAGCCTTCCCCTCCCCGCCTCCACTCTCTGAGAATGGGGCCCAGGCCTTTGCAGTTGCTAAAAGCTCTATTCTGATGCACAGTGAAGGTGGAGAAAACACTCAAGGAATTGACAATGTGATGGTATTCTTCTAGGTAGGAAAATGTCGAGCAAATAAATATAAATTATATAACATAAATTTACACATCTTGTGTGAACAGGTAGAAAATGGCAAATAAACTTCAATAAGGGTGAAATATAAGAGTACGGGAGCACAATTTGAGGGAAAGTAAGAAAAACTAAAATTCTAAGATGATACAAAAACAAGTTCTTGGGGAATTCCCTGAACTCTAATTCCATATATGGCTGTATCTAAAATGCCCCATAGTGACAAAGCGAGAGAGAGGCATGGACATATATACACTACCAAACGTAAGGTAGATAGCTAGTGGGAAGCAGCCGCATAGCACAGGGAGATCAGCTCGGTGCTTTGTGACCGCCTGGAGGGGTGGGATAGGAAGGGTGGGAGGGAGGGAGACGCAAGAGGGAAGAGATATGGGAACATATGTATATGTATAACTGATTCACTTTGTAATAAAGCAGAAACTAACACACCATTGTAAAGCAATTATACCCCAATAAAGATGTTAAAAAATAAAATAAAATAAAGAGGTAGAACAAGTTTTCAAATCAAATAAAATAAAATGCCCCATAGTACCACGCATCTTCAGAAAGGAGCTGGAGAATAGCACTGAAAACTCCTCTTCTACTCTCGTATAAAAGCACAGGAAATATGCCCCTGTGATACTGCATACAATTATGGGTTCTACATATCAAGAAAAATATAAAACAGTTGTAGATGGGCAACTATAAAATAAGGGAATAGAGGGACTGTGGTTGTACTCAGAATGAATGGACTTTGAGATGTTACTTGCCACTGAGGAAAAATATCTGAGAGCCATTTTATAGAGTAACCTTGAAAGTGACATCACAATTGTTGCCAGAGATCGCCATTTCAAAAGGGTAAAAGGATTTTTTTTTAAATCTCAGAGACCTAACAGCTCAGATAATCCATGATCTAGCTATTTTAAGATTAGATTCTTGTCAGCTTCTTCAGTTATTTAACTAGCATCAATTTTGTGGACCACGACTATCCTCTGAATTTGAGTACTAATGTATTAAGAAAATTCTTAACTATAGTCTATAAGTTAATTAAACCATCCTACACATCCTCCCTTCCACTCACATTTCTATGTGAGCATAGAGAAAACCACTGTTGCTTCTGCACATTCAGTTTTCCTGCTTAAAAATCCTAAGGTGGGCTTCCTTGGTGGCGCAGTGGTTGGGGGTCCGCCTGCCGATGCAGGCGACAGGGGTTCATGCCCCGGTCCGGGAAGATCCCACATGCCGCAAAGCGGATGGGCCCGTGAGCCATGGCCGCTGAGCCTGCGCGTCTGGAGCCTGTGCTCCGCAACGGGAGAGGCCACAAGAGTGAGAGGCCCGCGTACCAAAAAAAAAAAAAAAAAAAAATCCTAAAGTAAGTCCATATTTTGGCATAATTTAGTTGGCCATAAGGACAATTTTTCTCAAAATGTACAATTTTACCAGATTTAAGATCTTATTAATCAGAAGTAACCTAAGAAATAGCTGTGATGGCAATAATGAACCAAATCATATAAAGTTTATATCAAATATGATTTTTATTTATTTTTTTTAAATTTTGGCTGTGCCGCACCACTTGCGGGATCTCAGTTCCCCGACCAGGGATTGAACCCGGGCCACGGCAGTGAAAGCACTGAGTCCTAACCACTAGACCACCAGGGAAGTCCCCTCAAAACTTATTTTTAGATCTTTACGTCCAAATTCCTACTGGCAAGAAATACATTCACCAAAAGAACAGGCTCTAAAAATGTCCAAACAATGGGAGAAAGCCTTTATGTCTGGACTTAACAAAATGAACATTTTATTCAACTCCATTCAATGAGAAAATTTACTTAATTCACTTTAAAGTAACAGGTGCAATAGAGTACTTCTATAGTTCTTATACTAACTCTAAATCCAAAATTAAAGTTAAAAGTTACCTTTTGCCTGGAGATTACATAAGAAAACATGTAGAGTTTATTACTAAAACTGAATTATGAATCTTAATCTGTATTTCCAAAAAACTGCCATAACAAATAATGTATACCACCATTTATGAAGTTGTTTTCATTGGTTATTACCTCATTTAATTCTCATAACAATCCTATAAAGTGGATATTATTTTCCCCTCTTTATTTTACAGATGAGAAAACTGAGGCTAAACATAACTTTCCCAGATCACACAGGTAGCAACTGGTAAAACCAGAACTTAATTGTAGATTAAGAAGCAACTTAACTTTGAAACATTACAGAATTATCAAAGGACCAGACTACAAAACCCACATCAACCTTTATATGACTTAGTTTAATATTCCCACCTCAGCTACTTCTAAGGTTACTTCTTTTTAAAATATCACAATGAAGGAATTAAGATCTAAATGTATAAAATTTATTCAACAATAAGTAAATGAAATATATGGGCTTTGGTTTAAAATATACTTTGGAAATACAGCAATGGAAATATTTTAAAATAAAGCATTTACTTTTTTTATCTCTAAAGTAAGCACTGTTATGCTGTGGCTAAGAAAAGCTTAAGTTTAGAGAAAGTGTGTAAAAGACATTACAAAAAGAAAATCATTCTCCATTTTTTTTTTTTTTTTTGGCCGCACCTCGCGGCTTGTGTGATCTTAGTTCCCTGACCAGGGATTGAACCTGGGCCCTCGGCAGTGAGAGTGCAGAGTCCTAACCCCTGGACCACCATGGAATTCCCCCATTCTCCTTCTATGATGGGAAAACAACAAACTCAATCATCCTAGCCATCCAACCCAATAAAAACCTCAGAATGAAATGAACCAAAAATAGATGCCACTAGGATGCCAAAATTAAAGAATGCTTTACACTTGATAGATTTCTAAAAGATGTCATTGAAATTTTGAGGCCCCTTCTGGACATAAAGCATTTTAGGTCACTACTGACTTCAACATAGTGGAATATTTCTGCTTCTCTCCAGAAACCCCACTCCCCCTTCCTCAAACACACACACACACACACACACACACACACACACACACACACACACACACAATCTGTGTCACAGAGCTCTGCTCCACTAGGGCAAGCTAAATGCAAGAAAGGAATGAAGAACACTTTTCCATGACAATTAGTTTAAGAATCTTCCTAAAGCTGCACCCAAGCACAATCACCCCAAAATGCTTAATCCCATGAGATGCCAATGATAAATACTCATCCCAGTACTTATTAGCAATTCTGTATTGTCTGCCTCAGCTGCTGCTCTTGACATCACTCTCAGTCAGAGTTCGACCTAAAATCTGTAGCCCCGGGCTTCCCTGGTGGCGCAGTGGTTGAGAGTCCGCCTGCCGGTGCGGGGGACACGGGTTCGTGCCCCGGTCCGGGAAGATCCCACATGCTGCAGAGCGTCTGTGCCCGTGAGCCATGGCCGCTGAGCCTGCGCGTCCAGAGCCTGTTGCTCCGCAACGGGAGAGGCCACAACTGTGAGAGGCCCGCGTACCGCACCAAAAAAAAAAAAAAATCTGTAGCCCCACCTCTCCATGACCTTTCTTCTGTACTAATTAGAAACATTAGATCACACAAACTAGTACACTAGTATTTCTCATTAGGTAGCAAAGGGCGTAGATTGCAAAAAAAAAAAGGATTGAAAGGTTTTTTTTAAATTATTATAAGAAGGGCTAGGGCTAACTGCTACAGATTAGTGGATACAGTGCTACTCACCATTATTTGGATAACAGAATAAAAAGCAATTGCTACTAAGTCTTATCTTGTGCTCCTGCTGGATGTAGCCCTCAAAGTGTAGGCTGTGGGGTGTCTAGCAGCAGGCTTTCTTCCAGCAGCCCAGTCCCTGACCCTTCGCACAGTTGCCGGCCCAGTCCTGGATTCACCCTCATTCAAAGCTGAGCATTTGGGAGTGCAGATCCATTCCACCCATACCAAGGGTCTCTCTTCATGGCCTTATTACAGTTTGCATGTCATTAGGCCAGGGAGAGGGTGAGAAAATATTTAGAAAAAAAATAGAAAACCAAAGACATTTGCAATCAGGGAACCACAAAAATAGGGGAGGTTCAGGGAGCTTTGCCTAAAACAGCAACAAAAGCTACTCACTGTTATCTGGATAACAGAAAAGAAGCAATTGCCACAAAGTGGCAGAATATTTCACTGACTTTGTCCCCTTCAGGAAAATGCTGAGACCATGAAGTAAGTTCTTTCTGGTCAAGGTGGTCCTCTGTAAAAGTTTAACATGTGATGTTTTCAATTCCTAATACAAAATGGGCAGCAAGGAGGTCAACTAGGTTCTCGGTTAAGCCTTTTTTGCTTAAGTTTTTAGTTTGAAATACTGTGAATTCAAGCAGCTGTCCCATATAAAATTTAAAAATACTTTTCAACATTCAGTATTCAAATACTTTGGGGGGGGCTATCCAGAAGGCCGGTTAGTTTAAATCAGTGAAATAATTCAATGTCAGAGGAGCTTAGGTGTCAATAAGCAATAAAACAATGAATGAATTTATTGCAAACTCTCCCTGTAGGTGAACCATAATAAGAGACAGAAGAGTTTTTCACGCTATGCAATAATGAAAGTGTTTTTGCTTCTGACATTATTCTCTGGGGAGTTGATGCAAAGCGTTCTGAAGTAACATAAACCCTCCCAAATCGCAGCCGGTCTAATTTTTCAACTGCAAATGAAAAAAATCCCTAAGGATTTCAGTAAAATCAGCAAGGCTGTTTTATTCAAGTTCATATAGGAGGAAACTAGCCCGAGAACTAAAAGCAACCTCCCACAAACAAGAAATACTATCTCGCTCAAGTAGCGAAGCAGTCTCCTGGACTAAGCAATGCCAAACCCTGCCAAATTTTATAAAATTAACAATTTCGCGGGGGGGGGGGGCTTTTTGGCGATGGGACCAGTTTAGAAGAAAGCACTCTGAAGCGCTGAGTCCCGTTCAGTTCAGCCTAGGGTCTGCAAGATGTCCCACGGAAGGTGACATCCTGGAGAAGTCATGTGCTGAGGCAAACCAGGAGGAGCAGGGGGACCAAGTTTTATCCCAAATTTCAAAGCCAGACCCCCAAGGCCCCCTCCTCACCGGACCTTAACGAGACCTTGACCAGGAGGATGCGGGAGAGACCGGGGTTGCGACCGTGGGAGGGGATGAAAGCGCGAGAGCCCCGGGCAGAGGGAAGATTCCAGGGCTGCCCCGAGCCACGAGGACCGTCCCGGCTCCCGCACCTCCCGGGCAGCGGCGCGTCCGTTCCGGCGGCTGCTAGAGCGTCCGCCTCTCCCCTACGGCAGGCGGGGCTCGGGACCGTCCGCGGGCTACGGGGTGCCAGGCCCCCGCCCTCCCGCCCCAGCAGCGCCCGTTAGTTCTCTCGCGCCCCGCCCGCCCGCGGGGCTACGGCCGTTGGCGGTGGTAGCTGGGCCGCGGGACTTGGGCCGTTGGTGGCGCGGGCCGGCCGTCTCCCCTCCCGCCCGCGTCCCCTCTCGGCGCCCCGTCCCGTCCCAGGGCGCTCCGGCGGGGGTGAGGGGAGCACCCGACGGCGCGCGAGGCGACTCCGAAGTGAAGGTTTCCGGAGCGGGTCGCGCCGCTCCGACAGTCCCCGGGGCCGCGGGAACCCCGCCTCCCGCGCGGGCCCGAGCCCCCCCCCCCCGGGAGCCGCCGGCCCGCTCACCCATCCGTTCCCGCAGCCCCCTCAGGGATGTGCCACCACCGGCGCGCTCCGCCATCTTCAGAGCAGCCGAACGGGGAGCCGCCGCAGGCACTGGGTCCCCAGTGCGCAGGCTCTGGCGCGGCCGCCGCGGGGGCCGGGGCCGTGGCGCCGGGGGGCGGGAAGGGGCGGGGCCCAAAGGGCCGCCGCGCGCGCCTCGGACAAGCGATTGCCGAAGCGCTGCTTTTTGTGCACCACGTGGTGAGCCGCTGGGCGGCGACCACCTGGTGTAAATAAACCCTCTCCTACGTCCCGCGCTCTCCCAGCACCCTCCATCGTGGATGCCAGCCAATCATCAGCCGGCGTGGCCCTCCAACATTCCTTTTTTCTTTTCATCTCTTTTACCTAGAAACGCAGTAATGTTCTTTCCTTTCTTCATTCGTTCACTTAGGGAGCACTTCCTGAGTGCCTCCTGGGTGCGCTTGCATCAAGAGTTTGCTAGTCTTTGAAACACGACAGAAAGGCCCAAGTTGGGTGAAGAGGCCTAGAGAGGGGTTGGGAGAGAGATAGGTTCCTGTGAGGTGCTAGGGGTCCTGATCATGAGTAAAGACTTTAAGTTGTTGAGAATAAATCGTGACTCTATTAGGTCTCAAAGTTGTGTGAATTATCTTAGGGTGTTTGTGGATCTTTAAAGTGAAGGAGAGGACTTATTGGTGTTAATCTCGCCAGATAGATATATAATATTCGTAAATGATTAGTATCCAGAATGCATAAAGATTTAAAAATTACTTAAGAAATAGGCAACCCCCCAAAAGTGAGCAAAAGGCATAAAGATGCCTTTCACAGGAAAGAAAACACAAATGGTCAATAAGCATAAGAAAAGATGCTCAAACTCTTAAGCACTCAAGAGAATACAAATGGAAACCACAGATATCATGTTACACCTACAGATTTGGCAAAAATTAAAGAGTGGAAAATAAATGTTGGTTAGGATGTAGTTTAATATTAGTGGAGAAAAATAATGCTGTAAATCAACTATACTTCAATTAAAAAGATACTAGTGAAAGGAAAAAACACTAGCGGGGGGAAAAAGTTTGGCATTATATCACCTGAAGCCCTGTTGCTACATATATACAGACACCAATGCTTTGCATGATATACATGATGGTAGCTATGATTATTATGACACACATGATTAGGGCACCAGCAAAACACATATACCTACACACAAATTCAGCTTTGATGAATTTATCTGGAACTTCACAAACAGAAAATCTAGAAAAATGCAACATCAGCTTTGTAGTTTCTTGCAAAACTGCTGAAAGTGAACCCATCTAATAATAAGGAAACATTCACCCAAATCCAAACTGTGGCATATTCTGCAAAACAACTGACCTGGATGCTTCAAAATGAAAGATTTTTAAAAACAAACATCGGGGAAGTGTTTCAGATCAGAGGAGGCGACAGAGACCAGGTGTAATAATGCATGATCCTTGATTAGAACCTAGATTTTAAAAAAATTTTTACAGGGCATTCATTATTGGAACAATTGGGAAAATTCAAATACGAACTGTATATTATATATTATTGTATCAAAGTCAAATTTCTTGGGTGTGAGAATGGTATCGTGGTCATGTAGGAAAATGTCCTTTTTCTTAAGAAGTAACTGCTGGATAAAGCATCATGTCTGAAACTTACTGTCAAGTAGTTCATAGGAACAAACAGAGCAAATATCACGAATATTAAAAACTCGTGAATCTAGATGGTTACACAGAAGCTCGTTTTACTCTTCTTTCAACTCTTAACATGGGTTTGAAATTTTTCAAAATAAGTTGGAGAATTTATTTTAAATCTAGAAAGATTGTCTTCAGCTTACTTCTAAACATCACCACTTTGAAAAATAAAACTTGATTTGGCATTACATATACAGGGAGTCACCCTCCATAATCTTTGCAGCATTTAGAACTTCTAAAGGTCTTAATCCTGCCCAGGTGTGTGTTGTGGGGGGCAAGTAGCAATAAGAGGTCTACAAGAAAACAAATACATAGGCTGGGAGCTGGGTGAGTAATTAAAATGGGTCCCATCAACAAGAACCTACTGTATAGCACAGGGAACTCTGCTCAGTACTCTGTAATAACCTACATGGGAAAAGAATCTAAAAAAGAGTGGATATATGCATATGTATAACTGATTCACTTCGCTGTACACCTGAAAGTAACACAACATTGTAAACCAACTATACTCCAATAAAAATTTTTCAAGAAATAAAATAAAATGGGTCCCAAGAGCTCAGAGGGATGGAAAATCACTCATGGTTGGGGTGATCAGAGAACACTTTGTGGAAAAATTGGCACTTATTTTGGACCTGAGGACCAAAAGAGAGGTCCTCAGGTAGCTTAGTGAGGCAATGCGCCCATCTGTGGCTAGATTGCACTATTTCTCAAAATAAGATGGAAATCTAGGTTTTAATGTAAAATCTCTTTTTAAACAATGATGACAAAGTTAAAAGTTTTGCAAAACAGGGTGCAGGGCAAATAAAATTATCAGATAGCTAATCAATGTTCGACTTTCCCAATTATCTCATTTTTTATGTTCAAATGAAAATCCAAACAAGGTCCACACATGGCATTAACTGATATGCCTTTTCGGTCTCTTTTAATCTATAGATAAACTCTTCTTTTCCTCTAACATCTTTGACAGATCACTGTGAAATTTACAACTCATTCATTCATTCAGTATTGGGGAGAAAGATCCCCTCAGATGTTTCCTTGGGGCTAGAGCAGCTCCCTAAAGAGCCCCCCACGAGACTGTCTGTACATTTCTCAGAAAATTAGTGGAACTGAAGACCGCCAGCTTGGGGAGAGTTAGTCTATTCTGGAGCCAACTCAGTCAGAGCTGGGAAAGAACCCAGGAGGCTTGACTCCTCTCTGCCCCTGTTTGGAAAGCCTATGTTCCCCAGTGAGCGAAAAAGAACTGGAATCCTGCTCACTATTTTTTTACTTGGCTATTTTTTCCCTTAAACCTGATACCAGCAGGAAAAATATTCAGAAACCCCACAGTCATAATAGGTCTGGGAAGTGTCACTAAAACATTGAATTCACATGTAATAAACACCCAGTGGACTTATCAAGTCTAACAAATTTGCATTTAAACTGCCACCATCACAGCTCTGTAGTAAGAGTTTTAAGCTTCACAGCCTTGAAATGGCTGTTCCTCTCCATCCTTAACTACCTGTCGGATTCATCCATCACACACACAGCAGAGTCAGGGCTCTGGTTTTTCGTTCTCCTCTCATTTCTGACTCTTGCCTCGCATCTGTTGCAGCTCGGCTGTGATGCAGGGGGAAGCGTGATGTTTCATTCTGGACTCACCTCTTGCCAATTCTACTCACATTTTCCTTTCTTTTCCCAAATCTGCACTTTCCTTCTCTCCTCAGTTACAGACTCACCTCAGGCTTTGGTCATTTCTTGTTTGGTTGATGGCAGCTTTCCCAGCTCCGGAATTCCTGCTGCAGCACCTCACCCCCGCTCCCCACAATGACCCTTCACCACCCCTCCCCCATTCCCCTTCCCTTTGCACTGAGGACCAGGGTGACCTTGCTCTCTTTCCAGGGATAGGGTGGGGGGCTGATTCTCATGGCCTGAGCTCACCAGGGTGGGGAGGCTGGGAGCTTCCGAGGAGAGGAAGAAGAGGCACCACTGTCAGTTGGATCAGACCAACCTCAGAGGGGGAGAGCACGGTGGCAGTGATGGCAATCTGCTTGGAGCAGTAGGTGCATCTTGGATACTCACAAGTAAACAGTAAGAGATATGTCATTTGTCCAGTGCCTACGCACTGGCAGGCACAGTGCTTAAGGTTTTACATGGATTGTTTCATATAATCCTCACCACTGCTTCATGTGATAGCTTCTGTTATCATCCTCATTTTGCAGATAAGGAAAGAGTTAACCTCCCCAGGGTTAGCACAGCTAGGAAGTGGCAGAGCCAGGATTCAAAGCCATGTATATCTAGTACTCCTTCCACTGTGTCTCCCAATTTACCAGGTGATGAGCCCTAGTCTACTCAACTCCTAACCCACGTCTTCACTTCTCCATTGATCCAGTCCCCACACTCAGGCTACTCACCTTGTGTCATGTGGGATCTCAGTTCCCGATGACCAGGGATCAAACCTGTGACCCCTGCAGTGGAAGCTCGGAGTCTTCACCACTAGACCATCAGGGAAGTCCCGAGATGCACTTTTTATCAGTGGTAACGTCTTCGTACAACTACATCTCTTAACCCAAGTATCACTATAGCAGTCTCTTAAGTCTTTACTAGGATTGACTCAAACTATTCCATAAGAAACCATTGAAAAATGGGTGTTTAACATGTCTGGCAGTAAAGATAAATAAGACTCCTCTTAAGCAGCCTTCCTTCTAGAAAGGCTCACAGGGTCCATAAATGCCAGGTACTCAGGACTGACTTCAAAATGCATGTGTAAAGGAAAATGTGCCACATCTAGTGCACTGTTTATCCTGCAATGAATATTTGTTGAATGAATGAAAGAGTATTGAAAGCCTCCACAGTACTGAAGGAGGAATTTTCGATGGCCACCGGGGTGTTGAAAAGGTCTAGACTTAAAATTATCAAAGGGCAAGAAAATGTCCTCATTTTTTTTCTTAACTTCAAATAAAGTAGAGCAAACATGGGCTGTGCCTTCTCATTCTAAATACAGGGCCTATAATATAAAGGAAGCTTCAGGGGATGCCAGAAAGTATAAAATATCAAAGAATGCCCTTTAAAGACACTTTGGAATTTCTAATAGAGCTAAAAATTGGTAAAATCTAGATGGGAGAAAATGAGAAGAAAAGAGGAGTCGGGATGGTTTGTTAAAACACAGATTGCTCGGCCTCGTTCCCAGAGTTTCTGATTCTCTAAGTGTTATTAGTTGTATAACTAACATATACCCCTAAGGAAATGTACCGAATGTCTACTGTGATGTCAAGTACAGCTGAGTGCTTAATATCGTTACACTCTGATGATGCTAAACATTTAAAAATTCTAATACAGATCTAGTGTCGTGTACATCCTGATACTTGACATTTGTTTACTGAGGGAAGACAGATACTTTGCCCTAGGTTT